CAGCGCTGCTCATCCTGTGAGTGAACACACCGCCATAGCAGCATGTACAACACTCCCCCAATGGGAAGAAAACCCGCTGGGTAGTTCATCCTGTCACTTGTACCCAGACACAACTGGGACTTGCTTAAGAGGTCTCAAGTGAACAGCTTATTATCTCACGGTAATGGTCGAGGGATGGACCGCAACGCTCTCACTTATATCCTTCAAGTGTGTGGTTTGATTGACTTAAAGATTTGTTTCTAATGGGATATCTACAAGTTGGTGGTATACAAGTACAGTTATCCCAAGTGCCAAATGGGAAACATATAGGCCTAATATTTCACATTCTGTTAATATTTATCACAAGTTTACAAACATTCAATTTACCAGTCTAAAAAATGTATTAGTATTTATTTTTTGAATGATAACATTATGTAATTTATTTATTTATTTAATTTTACTTGATTGACTATTTTTTAATATCTGATCCTAAACATTAGCAATTAAGAGCAAAACTTGATATATTTAATATATAAACATTTGCTAAATTATAATGTATTTATGAACAATAATTAAAGTTTTGCAGTGTTAAAAGATTAAATACTGGCAATATTTATAGGGGAACAATCTTGATACATTGGGCAGGAAGTCTGGAATAGAGGAGAGAGAAAGGAAGGAGTTCGCCTGCACGAAGAAGGCATCGAAGTGGGTCAGTTTGTGGCGGGGAAAATAAGTACCGTGACGGGAAAATAAGTACCGTGGCGGGGAAAATAAGTACCGTGGCGGGAAAAAAATAAGTACCGTGGCGGGGAAAATAAGTACCGTGGCGGGGAAAATAAGTACCGTGGCGGGGAAAATAAGTACCATAGCTGGAAAATAAGTACCGTGGCGGGGGAAAATAAGTACCATGGCGTACTTATTTAATGTTATGTTGCCATTCATTATTTTGTATCATTATATTCATGTCTTTCAATGCTCTCTTGGTAATAGTGCTATTACAATCATTTGCAGATTTGTGTTACAATCATGCACTTTCTTTATGATTGTTTTGAACTAATGGGAATTACTATTTTTGGCAAAAATCTGAAATTTCCTGCTCAGGAAAAGGCACAGATTTAATATACATTACTGTATAAGCATTCAATTATATGTTTTGAGTTTGCCGTCTATTTCAAGATGATTATTTAGACAATTGTGCAATGTTTACCACAGCGAGCAGACGTAGGCTAGTCATATTATATTTATTTGTAATTTAAGGCCTAATTTTCTTTAAGTAACATCAAAAGTTTATTTGTTACTGTGTGATCGTGGTTATGTGAAAATTTTTTGTTTAGCTTGACTCAAGAATTTATGTCAGTGTATGCTGGGCTTGACTCAAGAATTTATGTCAGTGTATGCTGGGCTTGACTCAAGAATTTATTTCAGTGTATGATGGGCTTGACTCAAGAATTTATGTCAGTGTATGCTGGGCTTGACTCAAGAATTTATTTCAGTGTATGATGGAATTCTACGGTAGTTTTGGTGGTTGACAGAAGAATTGCTGTTTCTTAGTGTTGTATGAATTCCTACACTACAGTGAAGGAATATTTATACAATGCTTGAACAGGGAAAGGAATACTTAACACAATGGTCACACATTAGAATTTAAGTTCATTTATAACCAATTTAACCATGTACTGTACTGATGTTAAATTATCACTGTAGCTAAAAGATTCTGGTTTGCAGAATCATTTGTTAATACTGTAGCGATAAAATTCAAATTGTAGTCACTGAAATAGCCTAGAATGCAAAATATTTTTTTTCAACTGTGGTAGTGCAATGTAATCTCTCGTTTAACAGCTTTCAGTTACTAAAATTTGATTTTATTGCTTATGAAAGGATCATGACTGATTCAACTCCTTATGAAGGAAACTTTTATTATTTCTTAGACAATGATTTAAGTGAGACAGACACTTGGTGTAATAGTGAATTGCCTTTCAATTAATTAGTTTTTTTTTAGTTTATTCATCTGTCGTGTTCAGTTTTTATAATGGAGAGAACAGTCATGTCTCTGATCTATGATCTCATGTTATATTTGTACAACTATTATGTTCTTTGGGGAAATAGGAGAAGGGGGAGGGGATGATATGTTTATGTAGAGTACTAGTTAGTGTAAGATTTTCTTAGCCTAAAGGGCCCTGATAAGACTCTAGGCTAAGACAAGTGTTACTCAAGCAATATTTGGCATCTAGTCCAATGACGTCCCCAATCTCTATCGATCTCGTAATTTCGCTCAAGCAGTGTGTGGCACGGAAACAATCATGCATTATCAAAATAGTAATAATACTCTGAATTAAGGAAGAACGTTGAGGTTGTACGTTGGGACGCAGGTTCGATCCCATCGTATGGCTTCAATATTTTCTCATATATCACATTGTGATTTCATTGTACATCTAAATTACTTACTTTGTGGTTTTGTAATTTAATGTTGAAGAACAATACTTAGAAGCTCTTAATATGGTTTATTAAGTCGTCTCGGAGTGAGTGATAGGAAATTGTCCCAGATTGAATTTAAAAATTCATGGTTAAGTTGCAGTATATTGATAGAAATAAAGTAATTTTTATGTTTATGAAGATATCCCCAAAATATAAAGTAAACGTTGTCATTTATTGAGTCATGTATAAAGATAGGAAAAAATGTATTTACATAATGTTTCTCAATTATTTACCCATCAGCATTGTTACAATTTTGGATGGTAAAATTCCTTAAATTATTATTTATCTATTTTGTTTATTAATTTTAAAGGTGCTTCATATTTTATTAATTGTACAAGTCAAAGCAACTTAATCTGCAAATAGTTATATATTTTGTTAACAGGATCAATATTGATATTTTGTACTTTATGTTCCATTTAGAGAATTCAGAATATGAAACATGTCAAGGAATCATTTTAAAATGTTCAAAAAGGAGTAATTAAAAGTCTTTATATTTGATTCTAAAATTGAATTAGGCTTTACAGATTTGTTCATGTGAGTTATAATTACTGCAAAAATATATAGTAATGTTTCATATACTGTACTTATAATACCCGTGTAAGATATTCATATACTGTACTTATAATACCCGTGTAAGATAATTTAACAAAGACTGATATTCATTCATTAAACCAAAATAAACATTAAAGGTTGCCATTTCACAATGTGTTCCCGGAGCTCAACTATTATGGGGAATTATTAATTCTCATTTGTTTTAAAAAAGTTTAGATTTTAGATTGAATTTTTTTTTTTAGTGGATTCTGCTTGACCAGGCGCGGTGCCAACACTGAATGCTCACTCTGTACATTATTACTTTACAGAAAAATTGCATCAATAAAATTATAATGTATTTAGTATTTTATTTAACCGTTGTATTTGCTGTTGATTATTGTTTATAAGAGGACTGTCATACAAATTATTTTGTGGTCATGGGGCCAGATTCACGAAAGCACTTACGAACGTGTACATCTTTCATCAATCTTTGACGGCTTTGGTTACATTTATTAAACACTACTAGCATGAAAACTTGCCAATCAACTGTTGTTAATGTTATAAACAGCCTCCTGGTGCTTCGGAGCTCATTAACTGTGTAATAATTGTAAACTAAGCTGAAAAAGATTGAGAAAAGATGTACAGGTTCGTACCAGCTTCGTGAATCTGGCCCCAAGACGGATACGAGCAGTCCTGTACAGTCTAAGACTAAAGTAAACTGGGTATGTTGTGCCTAATAGGCCAAGTTGCCTAACAATGCGAATTTTCCCAAAATATATTTTTCAGTTTCTCCTTATGGACTGATAAAACTTCTCATTACATTATATGTTATTAGTTTTTTTTTTTAATTGAGTTAAACTTAATAGAAATTTAATCAAACCTAACACAACTAAGTCAGTAATTTATGTTCTTAATATAATGTAATATTATTAATTGAAATATCTGTACTAATTTGGAAAGAAATATTAGAAAATTGCGAAAATCACTCTTCCTGTTAGGCAAATTGGGCCTTGCATACTAGGCCAAGTGCAATGACATATATATATATATATATATATATATATATATATATATATATATATATATATATATATATATATATATATATATATATATATATATATGTCGTACCTAGTAGCCAGAACTTATGCAAGGCCCGATTTGCCTAATAAGGCAAGTTTTCACGAAATAATTGTTTTTCGACTACCTAACCTACCTAACCTAACCTAACCTAACTTTTTCGGCTATAACTAACCTACCCTATAAAGATAGGTTAGGTTAGGTTAGGTAGGGTTGGTTAGGTTCGGTCATAATCTACGTAATTTTAACTCCAAAAAAAATTTCACCTCATACATAATGAAATGTAGCATCATTTCATAAGAAAAAAAATAGAGAAAATATATTAATTCAGGAAAAACTTGGCCTATAGGCAAATCGGGCCTTGCATAGTAGGCTGATATTAGGTATATATATATATATATATATATATATATATATATATATATATATATATATATATATATATATATATATATATATATATATTAAGAACATGTATTGGTGAATACAATGTACTTGCAATTTTTATTCATTCTATTTACTATGATGAATTATAGATTACTTGAGACATATTCAAGCAAAAAAAAATTAGCTTTAATAAAAGTGATTCCAATATGCAATATCAAACATAATATAGAGGTGAACCTGGCGCTTAATTAAAGACTGCTTGATGCTACTGTCTGTACCTCTGTGTTCTCATAGTGAACATGAACATGTTCTAAATATCCAGTGATATTTACAGCCCTCTGGAGGTCTTAAGAACAAACTTACAGCTGACCTTATGGGCCCATACCAAACTTGCTATTTATCAACCCACTTCTTCATTAACAAATGTCAAATGCTCTCTGCTTACAACAACCTTACTAAGCCAAACTTAAGTTAGACCCCAGCTATTCAAGACATTCTTTTATGTAATAATATCAAACTTAATAGTCTAGGAAATACAAATTTTGAGT